TACTCCCTCTGATGCACAAGTGCCCTCCTCACTATGGTGCAACCCTGAAACCCTGCTCAGTTTCATTATTCTGAGTAGAGCACAGTTCGTCTCAAACTCTGCATTTGGGGTGCCCCCACAGTGATCCAATTTTCATCCTTCTCTGGTTCTAACATGCTCCCCAGGGCTGTCCTATGGTGGCACTTTAGAGCTCACTCCTGGAGTTTAAATCCCAAACCATGTAACATTTACCTATAGAAGTGCTTCCCTCCTGCTGTGGATCAATCACACTCCCCTCTGACATCTTTGGCACAAAGGCCTACCGTACCCTACCCATCTAAATCAGCTTAGAAATGCATTTCTAGGAAAAAGAAAGATTTGAAAGAAATAAGAAAGGGAGAGAATGAACTGAATTCTTCATTCAGTTCTTAATGTACTTAAGTAATTTTAAAACTGGGTTCAAGATCATCACATATATTGTGTCAATTAAAGATTTAAAAAATATCCTTTCTTGTGACTTGTGTGCACCTACCTAAAATCAAAATAAACCTACAGATTGAATTATTTTTAAATTTAATCTTCAATTTTATCCTGTATCTTTAAAAAAAAACCTAACTCTTTGATATACCATTATGTTAAGGGAGGAGAAAGGATTGAGGAAGCAAGGAATCAAAATATACCATGTACAGGTACAAATTCTCTATGGTGAATATGATCAATAGGAATATGTACAGTTTGCCAATCACAGTTAAAAATAATAATAATCAAATTTTTAAACACAAAAAATCCTTAAAGTTATTCTTATGAACGTTTGAGTGGTATGTTCATTAGATTATTTGCTAGCTTGGATGTGTATCTGTCTCATGAGCCCATTTTCCTAATACGAATGTTGATTTCCTCGCAGAGCATGGCAACGTACTTTGGTTTCCACCTTCCCTTTATCTCTAAACTTAAAAGCCATGTTTCGTTTAAGGGACATTTAAAAGAAAACCGCTGCTGAAAACATCTGCAACTACTGTTGTTTGCTTTTTAGGGCAGCCATGGCTAATGCAATGAACAATTTGCCATATGGATGCGATAGCAGTTATTTTCTCTGTTGCTAAACATAGTAGTATATTGAATGGATATAACAGCTTTTGCCTTGGCATACAGAGCTAACAGATTGTCAAAGAACTGCTAAGCAGGTGTTCACTGTGATGGCAATAGGAGATTTACAATCTTTTCTGAGCTTCTTTCACTACAAAAATTTTTAAATACATATGTCAATAGCTAGGATAAAAACACTTCTCCAAGCTGCTGTGTTGATTTGAAATGAACCCAGAAGCGTCAAAAGCAGAAGCCAGTACCTATAAAACACCATGGTGCTGTGACTGTCTCATTCTATGTAATCTCCATCCGCCTGTCCATGGTCTGGTCTGCTCTGTCTGCCCTGTACATTACTCTTTTGTCTAACTCTAAACGTTTGCCTATTCATGCATCCATTCCAGTGGCATGTTAATTCCTGCATTCTCGCAACAAGAATCTGTAAGGGCTCCACCGAAGTCATGAAAAAGTTTTAAAGAACCTGGTATCATATTGATGAGACATCATAATATAAAACAATGACTTTTATATCCAAATTGTTTATATGTTAATATATCAAAAATTAATTTTAAATCATTTGTGCATGTATGTTCGTGTGTGTGTTTTTTCAAGACAATGTCTCTTATTTTGAATTTCAGAATTAGGATTTGGTGCCCAAACGCATGACTCTACTTTCTTCTGAAGTAGATAATAAGCAGACAAATGAAATCCAACTAACACTTGCCTTACATATGGGCAAAAAATGTCTAATAACCCAACAGACAATACAGTTTATACAAAGCTGACACATTGAGAGTTATTTTACTTGAACACAAAGTTTATATTTTGAAAACAGACTAATAAGTCACCCACCAGAATGATGAGGCATCCTGTCCCCAATTATTAGTACAAGTCTAAATAAATTACTTATCTGACCTCTGCTATTCTATAGAAACATTATTTTCCTATATCACTCATTAACCTTTCCATAAGAAACTTCTGCTCAACTATGTCTCCAGTACTATATTTAGAAAAAAAAAAAAACAACAAGAATATCAAGGTTTTTTCCTCAATATGTTATGGAACAATGTTCCTTTCAGAAGCTTGCGGAAATATCAAGGTTACATCATATAGCACTTGCTTGCAAAGAACAGTAACTGTACCAGAAATGACATTGCCAATTTCAAAATCCAAAAGTATATGCTGAGCTTTTGCCTCCATTTTATTATTCATAATTTTATGGATAATAATTAAATTCAAAAGGTTGAGAAAAAGTAATAGAGAATGCCACAGCTTATCTTGTATTAAATGTTCATAGCAAATTAAAGTACAAAACACAAAGACCATTTTTCTTGCTAAATTAAAATGAAGAAAATCATTTATCCCAACTTTTATTTACTTCAGCCTCATCAGAGATTACCTTCTGACGGAGCTAGCAGTTGTTGAGTCACAGCTCCATCTTGGGTCATGTTTCGTAACAAGGAAGTATCATCACCATAATTTTATTAGATGGTGAAGCTATGTAATAGCAGTGCTCTTGTGTTTTCCCTTTTGTAAAGGGATGTAAACAGAGCATGATAGACTTTATTTAAAGCCAAATAATGTTCCCCTGATCCATATTACAGTAACCAGCAAGAGAAAATAGACTTTCAGTTAGTTGGGAAAGCAGGAGACTAACTCCTCCAAAAAAATTACTTGTTTTAGCATTTCAAGAATACCAGTCTGTATATATTTTTAGAGTTCATTATTTTAGTCCTATATTGATAACGAAAAAATACATTTAACAGTGCATTGTGACTTTGATGTAATAAAAAATATCATGGAGCAGAGAGCAATTTTATCTGTCCCATAGAGTGACACAGAAGATAATCGTCTCACCTTACCAGTAATATGTAAATATAAACAACGAATGGAGACTTTTAAAAGTCCTGCTCATTTTTAATCAAATAATTATAGAACCTCCAGCATGCAAGATTTTTCTCAGCTTTTTATATTCTTATGTGCTTACTCTTCCTATTTAGAAGAGTTTACTTTTTATATGTTTGAACTCTATGTTCTAGAAACATCCATGTTTAGCAAACTTCAGGCTCTGAAGTATCTAGCATCTACTCTATCTCATTATTGTTGTTCACCAAATTTATTATAAGAAATCTTACAAAACTTAGATCTTGCATTTTTAATGCTCTTCTCTATTTTTATATCTCTAAGCATATTTTTAGTTAATCTTTAGTCTTGTTCTGGTGATCACAGATGTTTCTTACTATGGAATCCCCTATGCCATAGTTTCCAAACATTGTTGTATATACCCATGATTTGGGGAGCTTCAAAAGTACAAATATCTTAGTTCCATTCCATACTAAGCACCTTATAGATGAGACATTCTCTCTCAGTGTACATCACTTGTCTCAGAGAACTATGAATCTAAGATTTTATTTTTTAAATTATTTTATTGGTTTATTTTATACTTCTACCTCAAATGACATTTAGAGAAGGAGTAATAAATAAAAGAACTTGGGGCTCAGTGGTATGGCACATTTCTACCATGTGTAACGCTCTGGGTTCAATGAACAGCAACACACACACACCATAGCAGTGTGTGCACGTGCACACACACACACACACACACACACACACACACACTCACATGCAGGGAATGGAAGGCATGAAAACTGCGCATTGCTTATTAAGTAAATATAAATTGAAACCTCAAGAAGAATTTGTAATCTAAAATTTTCTATCAAATATAATTATGACTATGAAGTCATAAAAAAGGACATATGTGAACAGAAGACCTCTCAGAACTTCACAATATTATGCAACTTTTGTTAAAAATTAATGGAAAATACATTCAAGGAGGAAGAAAAAATAAATCAAATGAAGAAAAGAATGGAGACCATGAAAGAATAATCTCATGAAAAAGCAACAGAATCAACTTCCAGTATGATGTTTGGGAAGTTATGAACGTCAAATGTAGAATGACTGCTTTGCAAAAAATTCTGTATTGTAAGTCCAAAGGAAAAATAAAGTTGAGAATAACTGATGAATCTCTACAAATGAGAAAAATAAAGTTGAGAATAACTGATGAATCTCTACAAATGAAACATAGTGCAAGACATTTCCAAGTTTATGAATTAATTAATATCGCATGTGGTGAAATCTGAGAAATCTTAAGAAAATGTACCACAAAAAAATATAATCATAGTACCTTATATAACTTAGCTGGGCATAATAGTTACACTGTATAATGATGTAAACAGTGAACATTTATCTAACAAAATAAGAATTTAACTATATTGGGCAGTGGAAAGGTAGAAAAAGATTTATGGACTGGGGGTAAGGAATGATGCATGAAAAAAGATAAATCCTTATCTGATATGTGAGTATCAGAACATATGCCTAAAAAAGGAACAGTACAGCAGCGAAGTAAATATGTTGTGTGGGGAAATTGAGAAATACTCAATGAACTTAAATTGGTTAAAATGATTTTGTATAAATGATTTTGTATAGAAAGAAGGAAAGGGAAAGGTAAGATAAAATGATACTATGCTTTTGTTCTAGCAAATTCTATAAAATAAACTTACCTCTAAATTATGTTCAAGTAACAAAAAAGTTTATATATTAGGGGGAAAGTCAACAGAAACTATCCACAAAAGGGCTCATAAGTTGGATTCAGTAAAATGGGCATTTACAGAGCCATTAAAGATACCTACACTAAGAAAACTGAGATCAAGGGAAGTTAAGGGATTTCTATCATAGTTTATGTCACTCTTCAAAGGAGCATCTGAACCTTGAGATTTTCAATCCATATTGTTTCATGGAAAGATCTCCTTCAGTTTTGAGTATCTGCATGCATATAATTAAAATCCCTTTTTAAAAAGGCCACTAATGAAAGCAAATGGATTATTTGAAAATTATTGTAAATAAGTATTCTAACATTATTGTTTTAATTTCTGTTTCAGGTCCTCCAGTTAATGTCACATGCAACATATTCATAAACAGCTTTGGCTCTATTGCAGAGACAACTATGGTAAGCATGGTTACTCATAACATGTTTTATACCGGATTAATGTATGTTCACATTAATGGGAACTTTTTGTTGATTTTACATAATTAAAGGATTAATACAATGAAATTAATAAATAAAATCAGTGGAAAGACTAAATTGTAATCAACTATAGGTAATAAAGTTTCATTTAGAAGTTGTAGGTTATAAAACACTTGTAAAAAATAAGATAGATTTTTTCCAGTGCAACAATCTAATGCCAAACCACAAAATAAAATTTTGCTATGTAAATTATTGCTTCTTCCAAAGTACTTTTATAGTAGATATAAGTAATCAGTAAATACTTTGATATTTAATTGTTCTATATTTTAACAAAGTTACTTATGCTACTATTTTAACTATTCAGTCGGGTCAATATTACAGCTTCTATCTAAACATTACCCCCAAAACCTCATGTAATCCTAGATGGGGCTTTTTGGAGTTGGCTGCTTTGTGAATATGAATTAAGGATGTGCTATAACTAAACTGGTTCATAACTAAGCTTTTATAACTAAACAGTTATAACTAAACTGGTTCTGGATTGGATAAGGGGAAGGTCCACCCTGGCTGTGAGTGATGCCAACAAAAGGCTTGTGGCTCAGGTGAAATAAAAGGGAAAGGGAGGCTTGCTGCTGCTGCCTCTTGCCCGCCTTACTGTGGACTATTTGACTTCTGTGATGCCCCTCTGCTGTGCCGGATGTCTCTGAGTGAGCCAGCTATGGACTGAAACCTCTATAAACTGTGAGCTTAAATGAAGCTTTCGTCCCTTAATTGTGACCAGCCGGTATTTAGTCCCAGCAACAAGAAAAGTAACCAAGGCAATTACCTTTTCAAATGAATAAAGTATTTATGTGAACAATATAAGGATTTTTATACCTAGATATGAAAATACTACTATATGCCTTAATATAACACTATAATGTAACAAGGAAGATTGTGTATAGTCAAGTTATTAAAGCCAAATAAAATAAAAATGATTATTACATACTAAATGTATCTTAAATTTTCTGTTTCTCTAAGGATCACATTGTGTTTCTTCTTTGGCCAAGCCTTTATTGAGCAATATAGCTTAGATAAAAAAGGAAAAATAGATACATGAAACAATGAATATTTGTGAAATTTCCTAGTAGTTAACTTTTTTTGAAACTATGTAAGATTGCTTATGAATTATCTATAATTGCATTCTATTTCTAAATTTAGAAAGGGTAATTTGCTTCAATTTTCAAAGTTGATTATAACTAAAATATGATATAATACTTAAAGATTTATTAGTTTTCAAAACCATTATTAGGGAATTATGATCATCTTTGCAAGTTTCAGCATCCCTCAATAATAAATTTTCTAATGGAGATAATTCATATGCAAATTATTGTGTGCAGGTTTGTGTCGGGGGGAAGAGGATTCCTCTCAATATGAAGACATTCAGGCACTGTTTTCTTTAAAATTCTGTTCCTATAATATAAGTAGTGTTTAATTATTTGGAAGCATTTTTGTGAGTCTGTTCAAACTCAGGTGATTATAATAAAAGGATTAGTGGAAAAGAACTAAACTCACATTTTAAGCATTATATAGATTTATTATATTTATAACATATAACATGAATGTACATGCCTGAGTGTAAATATGGACAAATACCTTTAACTTGATTATATTACCACAGTGTAATTCTGGTGCATACATATCTTTAGAGTGGTTATAAACTTGTTCAGGTTTGGTATATTCTAGATTATGATTGAATATCTACTTTTGATTTGTATCCCATATTTGAACATACTCAGACCAAATCATCCAAAATTGAGAGAATTACTGTTAGCTTTGTTCTACCAGCTCCCCAAATTTACAATCCTTGAAAGATTCTTATTTTAATTGCTTCTGCGTAGCAATTCCACTGATCCTATAAAATCCTAAAAGCCTTGAGATGATTTTCTGTATTTCTCTTTTGTGAGATTACTGCCGTGTAATATTTTCAACAAGCAACAGTTGGGAAGGTTTATAGCCTCACACATCTTTCTGGATCAGGGGGAAAGGATTTGGAACAAAGGGGCCTCATGAATGTCAGTTTCTGGTTTATGTTCTTTATGAGATCGTTCATTAGCCTAGCAAGGACATTGTTGTAACGCGCAGTCTATGACTGTTTCACCAAAATTTCTTCAATAATTTTAGAAGACTTCCTTTATAGGATAATATTCTACAAAAATCTTGCAGAAAATTGCTGACATACTCCCATGATGAACCTTGATGAGTTTTATTTTCTTTCTCCAGCACAGCAACTCTCTGCATTTTTATGTATGTTATCATTACGTATATCTTCTGAAATCATTTTAGCAACATATTTCACTGTCCTCTTCATAATTCATAGCAGCATAAGAAGCATTAATTAGCACCCCATAGTTTAAGTACCACAGAATTAACCATGTCCATCTTAGTATCCTTCTTTTCATTCTTTATACTCCTAAATATGTGACATTATATCCACCCAAATGGTAAGATTCAGTATTTGTAAAATTTAAAGCCTGTTACTTAGAATAGCTTTGATATAGTGTCCATTCATAAAGAATAGGGAAAATTGGAACTCCTGCCTGGCATATTGATGAATGTCTTTAATCTCAGCACTCTTGCAGACTGAGGCAGAAAGACTGCAAATTCTAGTCTGGTCTAGGCAATTTAGCAACCTAATGAGAGCTTGTCCCAAAACAAAATATAAAAAATCTTGGTTAGAATATCTCCAAAAGAAATTTTGTAAAATGTTTTCTTCCTCTTGATTAATTTAACTTTTTCCTGAGATCCAACATCACATCCCTGTAGCCCACAGCTTTGTTAATATATTTAAGTTCAGTTTTACATGAATATATTTTACCATATTTTTAAATCACATTCACATTTCTTACACTGAATATGCTTATTTCTGTTCTTCAATACAAATTGCCAATTCATTCAAGTCTATTAAAATGAAGTTTTGTTAGCTGGGATGGAGAATGTCCCACAAAGGCCTCAGGCACTCTTAGGTGGGCTTTTGGGAGAATGGTGGATATTGGGTCCCTAGAGCTAATGTGCTGTGAATGGATGGGATCTGTTGGGAAGAGGCAGGTCGTTTGGGGGCATGATTGGGAAGGATGTCTCTCCCTCCATGGGTCTTGCTTTCTCTCTCTGCTTTCTGGTCACCGTAACATAAGCACCTTTTCCGTGTTATGTCTCCCTGCCATACTGTTTCACTTTGGAGCCAATGGATGATGGATTGATGAATCAAAATAAACCTCTCTTCCTTTAACTCATGGATATCAACGACCTGTCCCAGTGACTGAGACATGCCTCAAATTATTTATAATCACTCATGAATGTTTTTGTGCCTGAGAAGTCATACATAACTAAAACTAAATATTTTCCTAATGTATAGGTGTACTTAACAGTGATCTTAACTAAGTCTTCAGGATATTTTAAATTCACTCCTCTGGTCAAACCTATAACCTGTTTCATCTTCTCAGTTTTTAATAACAGCTCAAATTCCATTTAAAGCTATTATTTGATACTTTCTCTAGAAGATACTCTGTTTCTGAAGCCATTTTATCAAATTAAGTAAATCCAAATTTTAATATACTTTTCCTCTTCCTGTGCCACTTTTTAAAATATTTATAGTGGGTTTTTTGATAGTATAGGCTCAAATTTCTTTTTATTTGTTAAATTCATCCTTTCCCAATATTTGTTGATCTAATTAACTTCATGTGCTAATCATTCTCACTTGTGTACAGTTTTATTTATTCTTAACATATAACCATCAAAAATTTTATTACGTATGTTAGCGAATCTTAACTTGTATATTTTCCTTATATTTGAATCATATGCCATCAGATAGAATGAGACTCTAAGGACTTAATCAGCCTCCATTATTACAAGTTTACAATTTTAAAGTAACTTTACAGTTAAATGATTTAAAATCTCTTGGACACCTTAGTCTTTTTAAAAGTTAACTTAAATAAGAGAACTAGTTTTCTAACATTAAAATCATCTTCTTTCTCACCTGCAAATATGGACTGAGGGACAGAGACACATCTGTCCTGCCTTTTGCACATGCAGTGACAGAAGGAGCCCGTGATTATTTCTATAATGGAAAGCTTATGATTTTCACACTCAGTCTTAAATGAAGCCTAACGATAAAAATCTAGGTTGAAGGTGTAGATAAAGCCTGTATGCTAGGGTAAAGCATGTGTGAACCTGACATCGCTAGGTGTGGTGGCACACACCTGTGATCTCAGCACTGAGAGGCAGAGACAGGACTGTGCCAAGGTCGAAGCCATCCTGGAATACACAGGAAGACCCTGTTTCAAAAAAAGGGGGGTTCTTTAAAAAATTCATGTTCAACAGCTTAGGCATATATGTGTAGCAATTATTTCAAATTGACTGCATTGGGGCTGGGGATTTAGCTCAGCGGCATAAGCACCTGCCTTGCAAGCAGGTGGTCGTGAGTTCGATCCCTGGTACTGGTAAAAAAAAAAAAAAAAAAAAAAAAAAACAAAAAGTCTTTAAAAAATTGACTGCATTGGCCTAACTGTCCAATTTCAAGAAACAGGTGAGTTGCCATTGTGACATTTGTTAAAGCTATAGAATTGCTTTGCTATATGATTTAAATCAATATTTACTTATTTAGTCATTAATTTTCACCACAGTCCAAAGCATAAACTTTTTTAATAAAATAAAAAAGGTCAGTTGCTTTAATGTGATGCTTTTCCAGGTGCTTGTATACCTAGATAGATGCCTGGTGCAATTTGAAGAAGTTATCTAAGGGTCCTGTACAAACAGTATGATATTTCAATTTTCCACACACGCGATACATTCACATTTTAGTTGCTACAATGAGCAAGTACATGTAGAAGCTGCTTTGAATTATTGAGTCAATAGATTTTCCAGAGATCAGTGAGAAAATTAGGCATAAAAACTGATTGCATGTCTGTATATATTAATGAAGTCTTTAAACTATTAAAGATAATTTT